ATCGTCACTAGAAGTCACTCCAGCCTTATTTGGACTCCTTAGCTTCCCGCCTCTCCCCTGGTCTCCACATGGAGTTAAACAGGTCACAGTCACAGTCATCAGGTCATTTCAGTATCTAATCAGCTATGAAGTCACGTCCCATAAAGACCTCAAAGTGGACAGTGGACCCTTGACTTATGACCTCCGTTTGTTCCTGAGGTCTGTTTATAACTCAAATTGGTCAATTGCCTTCAAAGTCTCTCTCTGGTAAATTTTAGGCCACACTTTCTTCCAGGCAGATTTCAGTGTCCTTAGAGACACTGTCCCAGGATTTCTCAGCCCCACGCAGGAAAGGATCCTCTCATGTTCCTTCCAGAGCTCTCTAAGGGTTAAATCTTATCTGAGACCATCTGGAAGCACAAGTGGCCAGCATTCGGGTCATAACTCAAGACTTTGGTCATAAGTTCAAACCAAAATGCCAGTCATAACCCAAGTTGTTCATATCTCAGGCCTGTAGTAACTCAAGGGTCCACTGTATCTCTAAAACACCAAACTTTAAAAAACTCATAACACCGTTTTCATACCAAAGTTGTTGAAGAATAGTTGCTTGCTATCAAGGACCCATTGTGGATTTCCTTATAAATGTTATTATTGTTTACGTGGGGTTTTTCAGAAAGGATCCAGTGTGTCTCACATGTTGCGTTTGCTTGATATGTCTTTTTTTAATTTCGTTTTTCGGGTTTTTTTTCATTTTCTTTTTTTTTAGTACCAGGGATCGAACTCGGGACCTCGTGCTTGCGAGGCAGCCGCAGGAATCCCCGGCCCACGTTTTCGGGTCTTTTTGAGACAGGGTCTTGCTAGGTGGTTCAGGCTGCCTTGAACTCACGATGTAGCCCCGCCTGGCCTGAAACTCAGGTGATCCTCCTGCCTCAGCCTCCCCAGTGCTGGGATTATTGACATGTTTTTTAAGTTTTGTTTTCATTAGTTGGTTGTGGTGTGTGCATGTGTGCGCACTGGGTCGTTTGTTCTGAGGAATTTCCCACGTCCTGGGTTTTGCCGATGGTTGCTTAGTCTTCGTCAGAGATGGTGTTCTTGTTTCTCTTCAGAGAAATGGGGCTGGTAGGGAGGGGCGGAAGGAGAGGGAATTAGGGAGGGGCTTCCGCAGTTGTGAAGCTGAGAAGCCCACAGGCTGCGTGTGCAGGGCGGAGAACCACGGAGGCTGGTGATGGGGTTCAGTCCAGATGCAGAGACCTGGCAGCCAGGAGCTGATGCTGAAGCCCAGCCCACAGCCAAGGGCCTGGGAGCACAGGCCCCGCGGCGTCAGCCCTGGGCTCTGACGGCAGGAGCGGCCTAGGAGTTCCGAGACCCGGGGCAGGAGTAGACGGGCGTCCCTGCTGCGGGGGAGCCCACCTCTGAGAGTGGGTCTTTTCCTCTCTGCCCGTGTGGTGGTTCACACATCTTATCCCCGCACTCCAGAGGCTGAGGCGGGAGGAACACAGACTCAACTTAGTGACTTAGCAAGAGCCTGCCTCAAAATAAGAATAAAAGCCAGACATGTAGCTCAGTGCGAGCATCCTATGTTCAATCTCCAGAAAAATAAGTAAATAAATAATAAGTAAATGGAAAAAAGGGAAAAACCCTTTCCAAAAATAGTGCTCCAGTAGACAGACTCAGAAGTAATGCTTGTCAGCTGTCCATCCCTCCCATACCTCATTCAGCTGACGACTGCATTTCAGTGTGCAGAACGCATAGGATGTATGTGTGCGTGTGTGGATACACACTTGCTTTTCCCGCCCTCCCAAGTGTGTAAACCGGTAGCGAAGGTCCAGTTCAGAAGCTGTTAAAGCGCTTTCGGTTTGTTCCCCGGCTGGAGCACTGCGCGGATGGCTGTGCCGTGTCCTGTCGGGAAGGTGGGGCTGGCCAAGTCCACTTTCAGCACCACTGGGCTCGGTCTGGGGTTGGGTGTTTGGGTCCTGGATTCACTGCTGTGTCATCCTCAGCAGTCTTTCTCCTGATGGCTGGTTTTGATTAGCAGCCTGTGGTGGTTACTTCTGTTACCCAGTATTTCGTTGGACCTGCAAGATAGTCATATTCTAGTATTTTCTTTCTGTTGCATTTATTTGCTGGAAATTCTTATAAATAATTTTCATCATCATCTCTGGTTACCCTGAGACCTCATTGTATGTGAGACGGGCAGGACCAATGCTTGCTGCAAGCAGCTTACAGAATGACGTAGTTCTCTAGTTTCCTCCAGAGACAAATAGTGAAGTATTTTCTTCTTTCTATCATTATAAACATAGGACTTTTTAAACTTTTAACGTTTAGAATTGCCTTCTCCATTTTTATAAATAATAAATGCCCGCCAGGGATTTAGCTCAGTGGTTCTGGCGCCTGCCTCGCAAGCACAAGTGCAAGGTCCGGAGTTTAATCCCCGGTACCAAAAAAAAAAAAAATGCCCAAGTAGCTTTTGATTGCATTTGAATCTATAGGTCATTTTGGAGAGAATTGACATCTAAATGCTTAATCTTCCAATCCATGAATTATATATTTCTCCCACTGAGATTTTTTAAAATTTCTCCTGGCAATGTTTTGAATACATTTGCTTTTTGTTTACTGGCCTTGGATCTTGCAAACTTTCTAAACACATTTATTATTTCCAGAAGAGTTCTTTTTTTTTTTTTGAAAGCAAGTGTTTTATTTAAATCAGTTGTTAAATCACAGTTTATCCAAATGAACATAATGCAGCATTGTCCTTAAAAGAAGGGGCACAAATATGACAAAGACACAATCCAGTATCTATCAAAATACCATTCGCGAAGAAGGAAACTGGACTTATTTCATTCTGTGGGTGAATGTGGTCCAGTGTATAAGAGCAGAGTCAAAAGCTTACAACAGTCAATTATTTTCTATATAACGTGAAAAACATGCCACTATGCTGCCTTGGTATTAAGCACACTCCTCTGTCCAAACCACTGTAACAGAATCAATTAGGAGAAAAGACTAACAAGACTCTATCTGCTAGTGAGAAAAATTTCCAACCTCTGCTGGACAGGAACTATGGAACATTTTGTGTGTTTCAAATGCTTTTTATTTTCAGCTTGCTGTGCATAATAGGAAAGTGACTGGCTTCTGAGTACTACACTAAGCATGGATCTGAGCTTTAGTGAATTTTTAGAATAAGAATTGTACCTTCTCACCAGGAGTGTTATTTCTTGGAAGTTGTTTTTCGCAGGTGTAAGTGAGGTTTTAAACTTCCCAAGGCCTCCCCATAGCTGCACACCCTGTCACATTAGATTCCTTGGGATTTTCTATGTGATGAATATGTTATCTGCACGTAAACACGGTTTCATTCCTTCCTTTTCAGTGTCTCTATCTTTGATTCCTTTTTCTTGCCCTGTTGAACTGACTGCTACTCCACTGTGCTGCTGAATAGAAGTGGGGAGAATGGGCATTCTCCTTTTTCCCAATTCTGCAAGGGAGAGCATTCAGTCTCCAGCCCCTTCCTGTGGGATCCGGCCCCTGCTGTGTAGCCTTCCTGCTCCTCCCCCGGGAAAGATGGCTTTTGCTCTCCATGCCTCCCCTTTGGCGTAGTACCTTCCCTAGGGGCCTCGCTGGCCTCCCTTGCAGTGGATGCTGTTCCTTACTGGGTGTGAGCTTTGCCAGATCATAGGAGACTCCTCTCCCCCAAGGCTGGACCCTCTGCCTCCAGCCCTCTGAGTGCAGGTTACGCTGGCCTTCTTCCTGGGGTCCGGGCCTCTGAAGGGCTGCTTGCTTCCTTGGCGGGGCGATCTACAGGGAAGTAGGTGGGTTTAGCTGCTGAAGTTCCAAGAGAGCGGTCTTTCTCAGGGCTTCTGCCTGCCTGCCCTTCCCGGGTCTGGGGACAAGCTTGGGGGAGAGTGCAGAGCCCCACGGTGCCCTGTGAGAAGGCTTTAGGATCGCAGCTCATTTCTTCTCCCCCGGTGTTCATGCCCTCGCTTTTCTTTACAGCTTTACCACCTAATTATGCCTTCCTAAACAATATAGCTTGGTTGTACTGGGGCGTTCTTTTTTTATATAGTATGTATTTGCCATACATAATAGTTTCATTGGTTTGGGGGAACTGGTACCTATCTATCATTTCTTGATCATTTGGATCCTTTTACTCTCTCCAAAAGGCTTTCTATAATCTCTCCTTTAGTTTTCTCTTTAATTAATTTATATATATTCTGATTTCTTTGAGTCATCATGCTGTTTTTCAGATTGAGCCATAGCTTTGTGTTTAGTTATTTCCTGTTCACTTGCATCACTTGTTGGTGTCCCCGATATAAGTGTGCCCAGTTCATCTAGGTACTGTCCATGTGCGTTACAGTTTTACCTGTGTCCGCAGGGCACAGGTCCCCCCTGCAGCGGCTCATCTTGTCCGAGGAGTGAGTTAGGGTGCAGACGCCTGCACTGGGCCTGCCCTCCCCGCCCTGTCACAGCCCACGAGTGGCCAGCTGTTGCGCCGGAATGGCGCCCAGGGCAACACTGCACCTGCTGGCTCTGAGACCTCTGCTGGGGCCGTGCCCAGGACGGGGCTGAGCGGCGGTGGGGTGGGCAGCCAGGGCAGCTGGTTCTGAGAGTTGTACCAGCGATTCAGGAAGGCTCAGACTTGCAGGCAGTGGCCTCCCCTCCTTTTCTTTTTTCTTGTTTTGGTTTCAGTGTCTTTATTTGCAGAATAAAAAATGAGATCACTGGTCACTGAAATCTAAAAGTCCGGGAGTGACTGGTCTAAATTAAGTGCTCAGCATGTGAGGATTATGTCATCATCTGGGCCTTGTTCCCGAAGCCTGCAGTAGTGCAGGCACAGTTACACACACATCGGGGAAACTAAATGTGAAGATAAACGTTTTTCATTTTAAGTTAAATTTTTTTCTGTTTCCAACAGTTGCTTTGTCTTATTTTTTTGTAGCAAGGCCTTAATCAAGACCTAAGCTTACTAAAATAGCCCTGTAATGCTTTTTGAAAGATTTCCATATAACTGTGTTTTTCTTTTCCTTTAGCTTCTATCTCTTCTTTTTGAAGATTTGTTCAAAAAATTTAATTCTGAAATGAAGAAGATCGCAGACCAGGTGATTCCCAAACAGAGAGCAGCGCAGTTCGATGTGGTGAAGCACATGCGCCAGGACCAGATCACCAACGGCATGGTGAACGCCATCTCCACTGTGAGCATGCAGCCAGCGGGCAGGAGGGAGGGCGGCTGGGCGGGCGGAGGGATTGTTTTTCGAGTGTATGCAAATAACAAATGTTCTGCTTTGAAAGACAGCCCGAAGTTGACATGTTCTCAGTTTTATTACTGTGGTAACCCTCCGGACCCACAGCCAATTTCACTTACCTGTGGTCAGCTGCAGTCTGAAAATATTAAACGAAAAATTCCAGAAATCAACAGTTTGTAACTTTGAAATAACTTTTATTGTAGTATAATTTTCCCCTTTTCTTATTGCTGTTCACCTTTCACTGTACCTAGCGTATAAACTGAACTTCATCGAAGGCGAGACGTGTGTGCTTTCCCGCAGTCTCAGCCCCCATGGGGACCTGGGCTCACAGCTCTTGTGGACAAGGAGGGACTTCTGTGTAACTCCCCAAATTATCGTTCCTGTTAAGTTTGGCAAGAAGAAACTAGGTAGATGAGGAAAAATCTCCCAGTTTAAGTTTTAGTAGCCATTCTTTTAATGAATAACTTTCCTCCTTTACTTTCTGTAATAAGACTGACATTTCAGGCAGGTTTATTAATTGCCCCTGTCATCTGGACCGTGCAGACCTGTTTCATTTCTCAGTAGCTTTCTGTTCCTCAGGGGCCTGTCCCTCTGCCTGTCCCTCCTTGAGCTGCTGTTCACTGGCTGAATGCCATTCACAGGCAGTTATCAGACAGCAGCCACAGGGCTATCTGATGAGGCCTGGCTCACGTTTGCACACCAGACACACAGCTAGCTTAGGGGTGGGATGGTGCCCAGCAGAGCCATGTGGCCCAGCACACTGATTCTGGTCACAGTGACATCATGGTGCACACTCGGGACATGGGACATTTGCGAGGGGCTTTGTGAGCAGCCTTACCGGGACGGCTGCAAGTGAAGTAGAGGTCTGCCTGCCTCTGTCTGCCCAGAGGCCGGGCTTGCAGAAGCTGTGCCCTGAGTGTGTGAGGAAGTTAGAACTGCTCTCCCTGCTTCCTGATGCATGATTTCCAGGACACCTTACTGCTGTTTGCAGTAGTTCTTTTACCCTGAGTGACTCTGCTTTATCCCTACCGCGGGACTGCTTATTAGAGAAATCAGCTGCAGGCCTCGTGGCAGGTGTGGCCAATCTGAAGGCGACCAGGAAAGAGTCAGCCTGTTGCCTTTGTAGAGTGCTTTCCCCAAATCTGCTTTCTCTGAGGAGCACTTTCAGACTCTGGGTCTGTTTCTCCCACTCCCTGTGGGCTGCTCCTGCAGGATACAAGCACACACTCTCTCCCAGGCATTGTGGCTCCACTCCTCACCTACTTCCTGTTTGCCAACAGCTGCCATTTTATTTTGGCTCAGTGCTAAATATTTTTTTACCTTTTATTTACCTTACTCTTGGTGTGCATCCATTTACTAGATTCATTCTAATTCCAAAATAAAAGAAGATAACTGAATAAGCAACACAGGAGTCTAATTTGAGGGGTACATTTTTGCTCTGTTCATTTTGTAATGGATAAGGTTTCTTCCTAGAATTTAGCTCATTTCATGTTATCAAGAACTCGAGGTTCTTGAGTGATAGATCTCTGCCATGACAGAGATGAAGCTGCACTGGGGAGGAGCCTCCCTGGAGCCGCATGTACAGTGCAGACCAGAACCAGTCTCCTTCCAAAACCGCAGTGCTGCTGGACGGCAGGGTTTTCAGGCTGGGGCCCATGGTCCGCTCCTGAGTCTGCATGGAATGAGGGTTCAGGGTCCTCCACATTTTTCTCCAGAAGGTGTTCACCGCTTCCATTTGGGCTCCTGAAGGAGCACGGAGAACTGCAAACGCCGTTTTTCTCTTTGGAGCCAGGAAGACAATGGAGTCAGCTGTTATTTTTGTTTGTTTGTTTGTTTTTTGGTATTGGGGATTGAACTCAAGTCCTTTCACTTGTGCAGCAGACAGCGAAACTACTGAGCTAAATCCTTGGCCCCAGCCTTTATTTTTGCCATTTATTTTCTGCTTTGCTTTTTTGATACATACTGTTTTCTACTGTTAACTCATGTTACCATGAACTTATACTTTTGGGAATATTATTTAATGTGTGGAAGTAATATGTTTAACATGAGATATTTAGTGCATAGAAGATACGTTTTATGTTCAAGATTCATTTATATGTCTATTTTAATATTGATATGATAGCCACAGAGGAGATACAGTATTTCTTAATGTGAATAAATATAAACAGTGATGGCAAACCTATGGCACATGTGCCACAGTGGGCTGTTTGTTGTCATTGAAAGCTCTAAAAGGTTCATCATCACTCGTATACAGTTTTTAGATTCTGCAGGCCTCAATCAAGAATTGCTATCAAGGATGAGGATTTAGCTCAGTGGTTCTGCCACCTCCCTCACAAGCGCAAGGTCCTGAGTTTGATCCCCAGTACCGAAAAAAAAAGAATTGTTATCCATCATTTTTCTGTTGTTGTATTTTCCTCTAATTAAGCCCTACTTTGGAAGACATCTGAGTAACACATTCCCATGTGATTGTCTCTGTGAGCTTCAGACTGGTTTCACCTTGAGTGTGCAGAAGTTGTGCAGCTTTAGTAGCCCATTGTGCCTGTGGCGCTCTGGTTGAAGCGGCCTGTTCTGTGTTCCTCGGTTGCTCATCTGATGACTCCTTGGCTGGTTCACGTTCACCCTGTCCTGTGGGAAGGCCAGTGAATGGCCTGGTTAAGGCCTAGCTTCGGTCGGGACATTGGGACTTCCATATGTCATAGCTGTAATTTCATGGGTGAGCAGTTTCGTGTCAGGGAACACACGAGAGGGCCAGGCTGGCCTCATGTCTGTCATCTCTCCACAGGGAAATTGGTCTCTGAAGAGATTTAAAATGGACCGCCAGGGTGTGACCCAAGTGCTGTCTCGCTTGTCCTATGTGTCTGCACTGGGCATGATGACGAGAATCTCCTCCCAGTTTGAAAAAACCAGAAAAGTGAGTGGTCCTCGCTCCCTGCAGCCATCTCAGTGGGGGATGCTCTGCCCTTCGGACACTCCTGAAGGAGAGGTAAGGTCCCAAGGGGTCTGTACAGGGCCAGAGTCAGACTTACTGGGGTGCAGGACCGGGGGTTCTGCTCCTGGTCTCATGCCCCAAGCTGTCCTCTTTCATTTATTGGTCACTTGCCGGCAAGAAATACTGGTGCAGCTTGTCAACTACATGGGCATCGTCCCAGAGCCAGCACTCTCAGAAGCATCTGACTCGGCCTCTTACCTACAGAGATACATGGACCGCATTTCTCTTGCTCATTTTACTTCATCGTAAGACCCAGTGTGATGAAGAGGGGCCAAGAACGCAGGGCAGTTGAAGGACCCACCACCCCATCCTCGCAAAGCGTCCTTTCTGAGTAGTGCCTTACTTTCCTGAGGCGGCTCGGAAGACATCATGCAGTCTGCTCCAGCAGTTAGGTGCCTGTGGTCCAAGCACTGTAAAGCCGTTACCGAGATGCTAAACCAAGGGTGGTACAGTTTTGCTTCTCTGGCACCTGGCGTGGCTCCTCTCTTCCATGTTACCGGTGCTGGTTTCCCTTGGTCCTGTTCTTCTAAATCACTGACTTCCAGTGGAGGACGGTTCACCGTTGTAACCCAGGCTTCTGGCAGGGCCTGGTTCAGAACAGGAGCCTCATAAATGTGTGCTGAATGAATAAGTAAGTTAACTCACAATGAGTACAAGATGTAGGTTCCAAAGGATAGAATTCTCTTCTGACTTGGAGGTGAAGAACAGGTGCCCATGCAAAGTTGTGAATTTCAGAAACTGCCCTAACTTAGGTGGCTTTTCAGATGTGCATGGTGTACTCAGTTTCACCATGGGCACACTAAGGATCCCAGAGATCCCTAGCTACCATCAATAAAGTGGCTACTTTTTAATATTACTATAGCAGATAGTTTTTGAGAATTAAAGATATAATCTCATATGTCACACACCTTGAATGTGTTTTCTGTTTGCTATATTCTGTCCTTATTGATATTTTTGTTTGGTTTTTGGTTATGTAGAAGTTTAGGAATATTTGTTATTTCCTTTTCATCGTGAAATAATTCCAGACTTTCAAAGAAGCTGCAAAAATAGTGCAAAGCCTTTCCATAACCTTCAGCTAGATTCCCAGGTGTGGGCGCCTCGCCTCGCCTCGCCTCGCCTCGCCTCGCTGTGGCACAGCTGCCGGCCCGTGAAGCTGACCCCGACGTGGTTCAGTCTCCTGCCCGTCCCCTCCCAGCCTCTGTCCTGCCAGTGTCGCTCTCTGACCAGGAGCACACGCCGCATTGGTCTCCATGCCCAGTCCCTGCCAGCCTGGAGCAATGCTTTGGTCCTCCTTTGCCTTTCACGACAGAATTGTTAGAGTCCTGGCCAGTTATTTTATAGATGTCTCCCATTTGCCGTCAGAGTTCTGTGTTTCTGTCTAGCCACCCTTACCAGTGTCTTCCCATATTATCATCGTAGCGGGTATGATGTTCCATGTACGGGAATAGCAGCTGTAGAATCCATTGTTCTTGTTGGACCTTCATGATGTCATCGTTATTTAGAACTATAAATAGTATCATGCCGAGTGTTCCTGTGCCAAACCTATTGTACCTCACTTCTTGTTACCTGAAGACCAGTTTCTCTGGGTTGGGTGTATGTGTGTCTTAGTCTCTTTTGTGAACTGCCAAAGTGTGCCTGACAAGGTTATACTACTTGCTGTCGCCACGGCAGAGTGGTATTTCCAGACACAGACTGTTTTGCATTACTGGCGTGGATTCTTAGAACTGGCTGTCTTCCGTTTCAGGCCTGCGGTTTGGTTAAAAACCTGGCCCTGATGACACATATCACAACCGACATGGAAGACGGCCCTATTGTGAAGTTGGCCGGCAACCTGGGCGTGGAGGATGTGAATTTCCTGTGTGGGGAAGAGCTCTCTTACCCCAACGTGTTTCTCGTCTTTCTCAACGGTGGGTCTGTGAGAGAGAGGTGTTCGTCCTGAGCAGGGCAGGGAGCCTGTGACAGTGCTCGTTCGTATTCGGAGCACAGAGACTTCCGCTCTGGGCCCAGGCAGGCCTTCCCTGAGAGACAGAACTGAGAGGAGCAGCAGCTTCTCTCCTGGCTGGGTGCCTGGCCTCTGAGAGGACGCAGCTGTCTGCGCTGGGGCGGCTCTGCCGAAGCCGATGTCATCCCCTTCCGCAGCCGCCAGGCGTCCTCAGCGGAAAGAGATGCCGCCGCCGTGGGTGAGCTCTTACCTTGCACTCTCTCCCGCAGCCTCCTGCAGCCCTCAGGCGGGGCACCCATTTCTCTCCCCAGCACCCTGAGGACTCAGGGAGCCGTGCTTCCCACCCGGATGGTGTGGAGTCCCCGAGAGCCAGGCTGACTACAGGGCTCTGTGAGAAGCAGTGCTCTCAGATGACTACTCAGTGCTGCTTAGGGCTCGGGCTGGGTGGACACAGAAGTCAGATTAGGGTCAGTTTTCATGTCTGCCTCGTCTCTTTTCATGTAGGTAACATCCTCGGGGTCATTCGAGACCACAAGAAGCTGGTGAACACATTCCGGCTGATGCGCAGAGCCGGGTACATCAATGAGTTCGTCTCCATCTCCACAAATCTCACAGACCGATGTGTGTATATCTCCTCGGACGGGGGCCGGCTGTGCAGGTGCGTGCTGCTAAAAGCGACTCAGGGGTCTGTGTCAGCTTTGGAAAGCAGTACACCTACGTTTGAAACTACTGTAACCTCTTTCGTTGTTAAGATGAATTTAATTCGGTCAAAGGTGAAGGGAGACTCGAGCAGGCCGCAGATGGGTGGGAGAAGTGATCTCTAATGACCAAGCCCTGCTACTCAGGATGCGGGCCGCTGGTGTCACCTGTGGGGTGTGGGAGCAGGGCTTTGACTCCGCCCGGTCCTGTGAGGTGGGACTGTCCTTCTCACTTAACAAGGGAGGAAACTGGGTCCAGTCAGGCCAAGGAGTCATCTGACTCCAGCAACCGGGGCCTTACCCGCTCTATTGCTACCAGCTGAGCTTTAAAGGATGCATAGGATTGCGTTTCCTGGACAGAGGGGAGAAGGGCTGAGAAAACACAAGAATAAAAAGATAGAAAGGTAAAGAAATAAAACCCCATCAGCCCCAAGGGAAAAGCAGGTTACTGTTGTTCCTTCCACAGCTATCTGGAAGGACTTGTGGACAGGCTCCACCCGCAGCTCCGGTACAGGGAGGCCTGCAACACGGTCCCTCCCTCACGGTCTCACCGCCACCCCAGCAGGCTCCGGTGCTGTGTGCACTGGCAGCACTGACGGCAGCCGGCAGGCGGCGCTGACAGCGGGCTCCTGGCGCCTGTCTGCCCGGTGCCTGTCTGCCTGGCATCCTGTAAAGGGTGCTCCTTTGAGGGCATCCCTCTCCAGGGAATTCTCGTGGGATGGTCAGTCCTGAGGCGTCTCCCACCCGCCCAGGCTCAGGTCTGAGAGCAGGCGAGGCGGGAGAACCTGAGCCCGTGGAATAATCCACGGAGGAAGTGGCTGGGACTGGCTGACGTCACAGTGATGCCCACGAGAGACGGCCTGCTACCCACTGCCTGCTGGCCCTGGGACTGCTCTGGTCTCTTTATCAGCTTTTTCTCGGATTCCTGTCCTTCCAGTACCTTCGTTTTTAATTCTTTTAATTTAACTTTTTTTCTTTGGTACTGGGAAGTAAACTCTGGGCCCTATTGCACCAGGCAAGCACTCTGCCATTGAGCTATGTATTCTCAGCCCTTTTCATTTTTTATTTTGAGGCAGATGTTTTTATAAGTTGCCCAAGTGGCTTTGAACTTGGGGTTCTCCTGCTTCAGCCTTGCAAGCCTCTGGGATTGCAGTCAAGAGCCACCGCGGCTGCCTCTTTCTAGGAAATTCACATAGAGCCGGTTCTCCAGTGGTGCACAGAGTGGCAGGCCTGTGCCAGGACAGAGAGAGACGTGTGTGAGTCTGCGTGTGTGAAGTCTCTCGGCCTGGTGTCCTGGGCCGTTGGGCGTAAGGAGGACTGCCTAGGGCTGGCCCGAGAGCGGCGGCCAGGTGTGCTGAGGGTTAGGGCACGAGGCACGGGTAGGCGTGCGTTTGTGGCTATCTTCAGCACCGCCTCGTGGGCAGGAAGAGCACTGGCGTGTCCTAGGTATTCTCTCTTAGGGTTTTTTCTCTCGCTGGGCCTGATACAAGAAGGCGTACTGTAAGAGAAAATCCTCCCTTTTAGAAATCCCTGTATCGTGGCAGACCAAGGGTCAGGCGGGAAGAGTAGAGCACTGTATTGCGTGCCACGGCCATCTGTCCTCACCTGAGTCTTACCCGAGGACCACTGTGGCAGTAGTGCCCCTGGCTCCCCACCAAGGAGCTGGAATTTGGCAGCGCTGCTGGTCACCCAGTGTCTCTTCAGTGACCCCTGCCCGCTTGTGAGTGTGCAGTGACTGCACGTGTTCCAAGGTGCCCCTTCGTCCTCGCGCAGTGCTGGGCTCAGGCGGGGCTGTGACTGGCTCCGTTCGTGAGCCTGGCCTCTGCAAACGGTGCACCTCACCTCTCCTCACCGTCTCCACGCCGCATGCCGTCCTCTGTGCATGTTTCCCGGGCTGGCAGAGCCCTCAGGCAGCCACCACTGACAGTAACAGGTTCATCTCCACTCGGGCGTGCAGCTTTGCTCTCTGCAAACACCAGCCTCTCTCTCTGGTCGGTGGTGGCTTTAAGTGGCCTGTGAGTCTCACTCACTGATGTTTGTCCTAAATCCGACCACCCACCCACCCGGCTCTTCTGCAGATCTCACTCCGGTGCCTCGTCCGCGCCAGGCCCAGTGCTCCCTTGCCTGCTGCCTCCACGGTATCGCAGCAGCCCTTGACACTGCCAGACATGGCCAGGACTCTGAGTAGCGCCAAGCCCTGTGCGTGCCGTGTTGTGTTGAGCTAGTAACGGAGACTGCAGCTGAACAACCCTGGGCAGCTAGCGTGGACGGCATGGACACTAGATGGAAGGATGTGTAGACATTCTAGATGAGGCATGCAGATAATGTGTACATCACTGTGCAGTGGAGCGGCCATGGTGGACCTTTTAGATCTTTCAGCGATGACAAACAGCAGGCTGTGGCACGGGTGCCATCACTTTGACACCGCTGCCTGAGATGGTATGGTAGCATGCGGATAGTGTGTACGGGAGGGGCACTGCAGGTGAAGGGTGTGGGTAATGTGTCCAGCGTGGGTGCTCCAGAGGGAAGGATTGCTCATGTCTGAGGCAGGACAGAGTGAGGTGGCACGAGAGTCCCATACTCCTCAGATCAGGGTGAGGGTTAGAACTCACGAGTTGTTTACTTCTGAAATTGTCCGCCCAGCATTGCTGGGCCACAGTCAGCCTTAGGTAGCTGAAATCACCGAAAGCAAAACAACTGGAACCACAGACAAATGGGGGTGACGTTGTCCCCCACAGTCCCCGTGTGGGATCGGGAGGTCACTGTTTCTGCAGTGACCATCTGTGCAGGCTTTAAAACAGGACATGAAGTTCTATTTCCTTTCCAGGCTTACCTTTTTTATACTGCCTTGTCATTTAACCAAATGCTCTCTAAGACTTTTTTTTTGTTTTTGGTTCTGGGGACCGAACTCAGGACCTTGCACTTGTGAGGCGGGTGTGGTGCCATTGAGCTAATCCCCAGGCCCCTTTCTATGACATTTGAAGGAAGCGCTGTGTCATGTTTATGTGTACACATCCCCTGGGGCACATGGGCTTGTGGGGTTGAAGAGAGGAAGGGAAGGCAGGTTTCCCATACTCACACATACAAAGGATACCTGCTATCTGCAAGCAGTCCAGGGGTGGGTTTGCTGGTGTCTGCGTCTTTCCTCTCTGTGCTGTGGTAAACATGGCTTGCTGATGTGATTCTTCCATGGAACCAGTACTCATTTGGTATTTTCCCATTTTAGGCCTTACATAATTGTCAAGAAACAGAAACCAGCTGTCACAAATAAGCATATGGAAGAGCTCGCTCAGGGATACAGGTAAACGGCCACAAGCAAAAGCTGTCAGTCCCCTCCACGTGCGGGCACACTAGTCAGCAGCAGCATTGTTCCTTCTGTGCTTTGAACAGTGTGTTCTCACTTTTAGCCTCTCAGTTTCTCCCCACACCCTGTCAAAGGCACCCCACCTGACTCTGTGTGCCAAGGGCAGAGGGCTTTCCAAGCTCGCCCACAAGGGTCAGAGTCTTGCTGAAGTCAGTGCTGTGGAGTACTCTACCCAGGGGAGAGCTTTCATCTGCGTGTTACGTGGGCTCCACGGCTCTCTTGTCACACAGGCTTCCTAGCATCAAACCTTGGAATTCAGAGTCTGGCTGACAAGATCACAGGCACGTGGTGTATCCATTTCAGGGGCGTGTGACCACTCTGCGTCACTGTCCCGGTGTGTCGACACTCTCTGGAAGAGCAAGGTGCTTTGGGGCTCAGTGACACCCAGGACCTGCGGCGATTATATAAAATGCCGCATTAAAACATCTTTTCATTGGTAATGTTTCTTTTACCAATATTTTCCCAGGAATTTTGAAGATTTCTTACATGAGAGTCTGGTCGAATATTTAGATGTGAATGAAGAAAATGATTGCAACATCGCACTCTATGAACATACAATTAACAAGTAAGTAGCATCTGTCGAACCCTAGTAGAGGCGGCCTCCTCTCTCAACGTCCTCTTAGTTTTCCGTCCCGTGCTCCTGTGGTCCTTGCTGCTAGAAGCACACCCAGCACTTATCCCCGTGGAAGGCAGCGCAGACTTGCCAACAGGTCATCCGTAGATTTCATTATCCTTCCTGTTCGCATGACACTTAGTATTTTTTTTAAAAAAGGAATCACTTCTCTGTAATATCTGACTGCTGTAAAAATTTAACAAAACATGAGGCTGCATAAAAGATGTGTTTCTGTCTTCTGAAGAGGATTTAGTCTGAACTCTCATCTTCAGTGCAGGACTCCTGCAGAATATGTTTTGTAACGCTCTGCCGAAGCTCATGCGTGTTGAAAACGTGAAATGTCCATAATGTCTCATAGAACAGTGATATTTTCAGAAGCATCTGTATCCCATCTGGAATACAGTAGAGGACATCTAGGTAACTTGTCTCTGATGGCGTGTGACTAAGCACGCTTTACCTGAGGTTAGAATTTGTATATTTTGTTAAATCGGGACTTTAATATTCCCACCTGGTAACTACTTGTGCCGTCACTTTAGAACTGCTCACAGCTTCATTTTGCACAAGACTGAAACCTGCTTTTGAACTCTGACTCCTCTCCTCTGTGTCTGCCCCAACAAGTAGCCAACACTAATAGTTTGATATGTTTGCTTCTAGGTAGTTTTCTAAGCAAATATAAACGTATATACACCATCCCACACAATGCATGCATATAAAACAATGATAGCATGTCTCCAGTGTCTTAATTGTTAAATTTAACTGTGTTATGGGCATTTTCCATATTAGTACATGTATTTATATTTGCCTATATACATAAAAATTATGTTTTTTAATTATATTATCTCCCTACACATATATATAAAACTATATATGATAACTATTTAGAGCTGATAAAGATTTAGAGCAGGGATGGCACACCCTTTAGAGCTTTCAGTGATAACAGACAGCCTGCTGCAGCATGCATGCCATACATTTGCCACCACTGATTTAGGTTGTTTCTGATTTTTCCATTGTTATTATTATTATTGTTTTTTTATTTTTGAGACAGGATATCACTACACAGTTCAGACTGGCCTTGGACTCACTGTGTACCCCAGGCTGGCCTCAAAATTGTGGCAATCCTCCTGCCTCAGCCTCCTGAGTGCTGGGATTGCCAGTGTGCCATCACGCCTGGCGAAAAACCCGAACAAACCCAGAACCCTTTCCTTCCTTGCTGACAAAGGGCTAAAGTGGTGATAAGATTGGAGCCCCACCAGTCCCAATGAAATGATGTCCCCAAACGAAGAGCTAAGTGGAAAGCACCCTCACCGAAGCAGGGGGAAATGGCACATGTGCGCATTGCGAGAAGAAGTAGATGGCTAACTCAGTGCCCCACAGGGCTTCCCCAGACACATGGCAGCTACGCTGCGGGGTGGGCAGGGACTGGACATCGCTTCTGTCCACGGGGCTGGAGACTGCCGGGCGGTGCCAGCGTCACTGCTCACACATGCGGGAGAGCCAGAGTGTCAGGACCACGGTCCTCAACACCATGTCTGTCCCTCTCAGCACAGCCCTGCAAGAGTCTGGCCATGCTGACTTGTTCAGGCACCCAAATTGCTCTGCCATTTAGCCAAAGCCGAGTTTTGTGCAGAAATGTATTATGAAAGTAACCGAGGAAAAATCTTTATGAGTCTGATCCCAAAGTAGAGCTGTCCAATAAAATCGTAATACAAGCCTCCCTGGTACAACTGCAGATGTCCTAGTGGTCCCCTTAAACCCTAAAAAGAAATGGGTAAGATTCATTTGAATAATGTTTTTATTTAGCCAGTATATCTAAAATACTACTCTGTTAGCATGTACTCAGTATAAAAATATAAAAATACTGAGATATTTCTCTTTCAGCCATACCACAAGTCCTCAAAATCTGCCATGCACATATAGCTCATCTCATTTGAGATGCCAGATTTATCGGAAATACTCTGATTTCACAACCCTTCCAATTAAAAAAGTAGATTCACAAATGAAAGTTGTTCCAAATATCATAACTAAAATGTTTTAAATAACAAGTTGAGTTATTTAAATTTACAGTTTTAAAGTTTAAAGTAATTAAAATTTGGTAAATTAGAAATCAGTCCTTAGTTGCAGCAGCCACACTCTTGGCCCTGTGGGTCCGTAGAATCTTCCTCTCCAGAGTGGTGACAGCCTTCTTTTTTTTTTTTTTTTTGGTACCAGGGATCGAACTTGGGTCCTTGTGCTTGCGAGGCAGGCGGTGGAACCACTGAGCTAAATCCCTAGCCCCACTGAGCTAAATCCCCAGCCCGGTGACAGCCTTCTTGAGAACAGGGCTGGACAGGAGAGCAAGCTGGTGCGCGTGGACGTTATTGCTGCTGCCTTGTGTTCACTGTCGTGGCCCTCTGTGTGCTCTGTGTTATTACAGTATTAGCATGTATCACCAAATGCCTTGTTTTTATATAAATAATTCCATCCTGTTTCCCTTCTCTTATATTTCAATCCCTAAGAAAATTTCTGTTAAAAAATCTAAGTAGTTTTATCACCTCTATTTAAGCATGCTTTTGTTTCACCAGTTTTCCTAGGATCAAAGTTCATTGTCATATAAATCTCTTGGGGACCTAGGTGATGATAGTTTTATTCCCTCCAAGAAAGCACTGACCCGGTCCTGCTGGTCTGAGCTGCCTGCTTCTTCCCTTGCTAGAGACACCACCCACCTGGAGATCGAGCCCTTCACGCTGCTCGGCGTCTGCGCTGGCCTGATCCCGTACCCACACCACAACCAGTCCCCGAGGAACACCTACCAGTGCGCCATGGGCAAACAGGCCATGGGTAAGAGTCCGGGCAAGCTGAGCAGTGGACGGCTTCTGTCTCGCGGCTGCACTCCGGGTTGGGGCGGTCTGCCGTCGGTGCACCTGCGGGTCCAGGAGGTGCCACAGAGCTCCGCAGACTTGCGAGTTCCTCTCCTGTCCACGCACAGAACTTCTCCAGCTTGTTCCCTTCACCAGATTGGCAGGTGGTAACTCCCAGAATTCTAAGAGAATAAATATAAATTGTTAACCAAGAAAGATTAAAAAAAACTCAAGGTGAGGGGAGAAGAGAGATAAAGGTGCTCAGTGCATCTTGGACCGCACCTCGGAATTGTCTGGGTGATGATCGCTGCACCCATTGTATCCTCACAGTTGCTGTTGTGTCTCCCAAGGTTTGTTACGCCAGTATCTGAAATCATCTTTCTTCCTCCTGTTTTTCTTCCCTTTCGTCTGTCTACCTATTAATCTGTGAACTCATCCACTTGTCCATAGCATATTGAGCAAGACTGTAGAACAGACACAGGGCTGGAGCTGAAAGCAGATGAGACAGAGCTCTGGGCTTCAAGAGGTCAGAGACCAACCCATGAAACTGACCCGGTCTCCTGAGATGAGTGCTGCAGGAGACGGACAGCTGGGATCTGAGGGAGTGCGAGGAGAGGACCCTTGGACAGTGGGCTGCCGCAGGGACAGGGCTGGGCTGAGTCTTGAACACCGTGCGTGCGTAGGGGTCGCAGGTGTGGGAATAGAAGCAAGCGTCTCATGAGGACGTCCGTCTGGTGTAACAGCATGGGTACGGGGGCATTAGGGAAGCACTGCAGGGTGAGCAGCTGGAGTTGTGTCTTAAGATGACACAGAAAATTCCAGCATGCACCCCACAGCCCCGAAGAAAAGACAGGTTCTGCCGATGAACCTTTCTAAATGTTTTTAGAGGTCATCTAGGTCCTGATAAGTTTTATCTTCATACACATCTGTGATGCCAGTCTGACTTGTCCTCTCTAATTTTAAGTGATACAAGAGCATATGGCCTTTGGGTGACAGGACAACACCAGCTGCTGCCAACTGTGGCGTGCCAGCTAAGGAATCCCAGCTCCTCATTACGGGGAGTGAGCATCTGTATTTCAAGTTTGTACGTAGCCCTTTAGGAGCTAGAAGAAATCGAAAGCGTGTAGCGCTGCAGCCATTTACCTGGGGAGGCAGGCCTGGCCTGGGCAGCCTTCCCCGAGGATCCTGAGCAGCGTTGTCCTTTCCACTCTGCACTCAGCCCCGAGGCAGTGGCGCCGGCAATTCCCGAAACCTACAATACTGCCCGGTGTGTATCATGAAAGGGCCATCACCTCTGCCAGGTCCACCAAACCATTCTGTTTCGTGATGTGAATCCCCACTGAAACAATACACCTTTTGCATGGAAGCTTCAGCAGAATTGATGGACGACTAATCACTCCAGCGCTAAAGCCACTCTCCGTGTGTTTGAAGATGGAAACGGAAGAGCCGCAGCCATCTCCCTCAGTGAAGTAAGGCTTTAAGAAAAAAAGAATAGACTTGAAGGAACGGAATCACATTTTTATTTTTATAACACCCTCCCCACACACAAAGAAGCACCACCTTTATTTTGTGGTCTGCGCGTCTGCCGCGTTGGGTTAGTTACCACACACAGTTAAGCAGGATCAGGCCGTACAGAAAGCCAATTCAGTGTCTGTGGAGTTCTTTTGTAGCTTCCTGTGTGAAGGGTTTTCTTCTCGTTTTGTTTTGAGTGTCATTTGCAATTCATTGTCTGTGTTTTCTGAGGTTGGTGTATTCAGCTGCTGTGACCCTGGGTCCTGCACGTTTAGCTCCTTGGATACAATCCTCTGACGTTACTGCTGACGCTAGGCAGACAAAAGCGCTGAATATCTTAAGTAATAAAAAAAAAAGCCTTTGTCACTGTTTGTTATTATAAAACACCTGACTGGAAAGAAAAGCATGGAGGTAGAAGTACATTTAAATTTGGCACCTCGCATGGCCACATTTCTCTCTAGACCCTGAAATAGCTGCAGAAGTATTGAGCCAGGTCTGTATGAAAACCGCAAAGGAAAGGCCATGGCACAGACCAGGTCTGTGAAGCAGGCCCAGCCTTTAGATTGTGTGCACGCCTTGTGGTCTCCACAGCGATAGCTGAGTCACTCCCACTGAGGACTTCGCGCCTCCTACAGAGCCTGTGCAGACGCTCCCTCGCTCACTCGCTCGCTCGCTCAGAAGCGGTGTTCCTTGCTGTTGTGTCTGTTAGCTCGGGTAGAAAGGCAGTGGCCCAGAGCTGGTTCACCACACGTCCCAGCCAACCCCAACCCCTTCAGCATGGAAGTCATCTTCCATCACGCCAGGGAGGGGACACCGAGACTGACATGAACCGCAGAAACAGCCCTTCCTGGTTTGTGAGCCCGTGGAGGGTTCCCTCGGCTCAGTTTCCACGCAGGGCCTCTGTGCTGCTGAGAGGACCTCAGTGCTGGGCCGGGCGCAGAGCGAGCAGCCCGGTGGACATCTGGAAGCGCAGGTTCCCCCGTCACTTGGCATGTGGCTCTGTGGCTCGTGTGGACTTGGGGTGTCACCAGATGCTGATTCTCGTGGGTCACACTGTCCCGTGCCGCTCGTGTATTCGGTGGCCGCCCTCGAGTGGGACAGTCCGTTCAAAAAGGTGGCTGCTCTGTCAGCTCGGTGAGGAACTGCAGTGACCTCCCCTTCACCCCAAAGTGCCCCATTAGTCACGATTCATTCCACACACCCAAAGTGCTGGTTATGTGTGCTTCCACAAGAGAGCTCTTTAAAAAGGCTTTAAAGAAGACTTCTGATGAGATCATAAGTACCAAACCCACGCTGAAAGGTTTTGCTGCTGCCCCACTCCGAGGTGGCTGTGGTGCGGTTTCCGCAGGGCCTCCTCCTTGGCTGTCATCAGTGGCCTGGCTGTCTGTGTTCCCTGTGTTTCCCTCCATGATGCTGCTGCTCAGCTGCAGAAAACTCTCTGGCGGCCTGAAGCCTCATCTCAAGCTGCGTGAAGTGCACAGTTGCAACCGGATGCTCAACACAGATTTTAAACGATTTCATGGAAAAGGACAAACTTATTGTCTGTGAACTTCACCGTGATCCCAACAGCAGTCTCATTTCTAAAACAGTGATCTATCTGTTGCCAGGTACCCTGCCTAGTTTATTAGCTGGCACTAAAGTAACATAAATTAATTGGCATTTTATAGTGTAAACTTGACACCGAGTTCATGAAGTTCAGTGGGACTCTTGTTTTTCACATGAATCTTGATAAGTTTTCTAGAGATGTAAGCACAAACATAGGGGTGATGAAACTATACAGTGAGTCCCAGTTTCTCATGTTGGTGCCAGACAACTGTTAAGATGAATGTCAACTTTGCAAGTGTTAAAATGTGGAGAGATGTGCATATTAAGATTGTTGAAGTACAGTAACTACTCTTCCCATTCTAATATGAGGGGTGATCAAAATATACAGTAAATGTTTACATTTTAAAAATTTATCACAATAAAAGACACTTTGCCATGAATCCGCCTCAGAATACTGTCCCTCGCTTCAAACACATTTATCTTATTGTTCTTGCCACTTTCTGAAGCAGCTCTGGAAGTCCTCTTTCCTGAGTGAGTGTCTTTTTAAGTTCTAATCAAAATTATGGTGAATGCTATTGCTGCTAAGTGCCTGAAGGGCAGGATCTAAAAACCATGACTGTTCACCAAATCTGGTATGATGTGATTTCAGCTCTTCCCCAGAGTCAAAATGACCATGAAAGGGAAAAATTTTGATCAGTTCCAGACATTGAGCCACAACAGTGCAACTAAGACACACAGGAAAGAGAATTCCAGAGCTGCTGCAGAAAGGGGCAAGAACAAGAGATAAGTGTTTGAATCGAGGGGAGGGATTCCCAGGGGGACTCGTGGTGATGTGTCCCTTACTGTAGTAAATTTAAAAAAGCATTCGCTGTATGTATCGATCATACCACATATCATTCTTCAGTGTAATTCATGTGCCATTTACTCTGAGCATCTACAGTCTGCACTGCGCTAGGTGAATTTCTCTGATACGCTTTGCAGCTCTTACTGTTCTTTCAGCAGTCATGGTCAAGGAATATCATACTGTTTTTGCTGATTGAAGTTTATTTTCAGCCCTGAATTGAGAGCACCATTGATTTCATGATAGGAATATGAAGAAGTTAAAGAGAATAATCTGGAGTATTGGTATCTATCTCCTCACCCAGGTGTAACTCCATGAGGCGCCTGGGGGCCGAGGTGTGTGGGTGTAGGTGTCACTGGAGGCGTGTGTAGGAGGGACACAGCTCTCTGCTTTCCCTCATGTCAATCCTGCAGCCACCCATGGGGGAAAGAAGCACCCAGGAGGAGTTGAAGGGGCTGGGGCCCCAGAGTCTCAGCAGCAGGGCCAGCCCACACAGCCCAGTTCTCAGGGCCCGGTGTAGGATAAGCTGTGTCCACGAGCCCAAGGCACTGAGAAGCCTTTGTTTCAGCAAGCTGGGCCTCGCAGGGTGGTTCTGAGGGACAGGAGAGGGTTAACGACCTCATTGCCAGTGGGCAGTGACCCAGCAGCAGCCTTCCAGGACCAATCAGCTGGAAAGACTGATTTTTAAGCAAGGAGAGCCATCCTGATTGGGCGCTTTCCTGGATTGCGAAGGGCAGTGGCTGTGAACTTTGGCTCTCAGGCCACAGCGAGCTGTTTGTTTCATTGAAAGCTCTAAAAGCTTCGCCATCACTGCCTTATGGGAAGGGACCTTGACTGTCCCTGTGTATCTTTTGTCTGGCACTGAGTAAATGTTTAATATCAGGGACTGCTCAGTAAATGAACGAACTGCTCTCCCTTTACCTGACTGCCTCTTTCTTCGTTCTTTTCTCACTCTCTTGCCTTTTTCCATTTACAGTTTCGCAACTGTTGACTCTTTTTTATGAACTGTGTGTCTGTTTCCATGCCTAAGCTCCTGGCCGGTGATGACTAGAGGGTCCCCATCCCCTTTCCTGGGCAGCTAGGAATGGGCCTGCAGTGTAGTAGCCAAGCACAGGCCGTGGACTTAGGAAATCACCCAGTGAGAACCAAACTCTCAAGCAAGATCCGTCCAAAAAGTTGAAATTATTTAGATGATATACCTCAAGTATAACTTACTGTAAGAAGTTATTGGCCACCATGAGGGTCTTGCTTTATCAGTGCTTGACCTGAAGATTTTTCTTACTTGAATTAGTGGAGTTCGTGTGTTTATTACATTAATTGCTACACAATTATTTCAGATGATAGAATGTTGGGTTTTGTTTCCTCCAATGTTAATGAAGGTACCATTGGATACAACCAGCGAAACAGAATCGATACTCTCATGTATCTGCTAGCATATCCACAAAAACCCATGGTTAAAACAAAGACCATCGAGCTGATAGACTTCGAGAAGTTGCCAGCAGGGCAGAACGCGACAGTCGCTGTGATGAGCTACAGTGGCTATGACATTGAGGATGCTCTGGTCCTAAACAAGGCCTCCCTGGACAGGGGTGAGTGGGTTCCCAAGGTTCGGACTAACACCAGAAGTGCTTTTGGCAGAATTAGGGAACAGTGGGTGACTCGTGTCAAAATCACTTGGTGTCAGAACATTACAATACAAGTGATTTGAATTTTATAATACAAACAGGAAGTAACCTTTGGGCATTGGCTTTTGCTTGCTTGCTTGTTTGTTTTGAATGTTACAGTGAGTGTGCTACTACCTGATCTTTTGTTCTTCCCAAGAGAGAAAAAAGCATAAGAACCTATTTATTTTCCAGTAGGAATTACAATGTTTGAAATGTTTTTTAAAATACATCCAGTAACTTATACAACACCAGACCTGCTTGAGAAAGCAACAGCAGCAGTCAGATGGGAAGGCTGTTTGCCTGCGGTGTCCCTTAGTGCCATAACCCAGTGTCCTTTTTTAATGAAATAATAAGAGTTGAAAATGCACACAGACAAACCCTAGCGTGTAGTTCTTGCGCTCGCCCTTCCGCCTCTGCTTCCGGAGAGTTCACTTCTGCAGGTCCCCACGTTCCCCGAGTGTCAGCAGTGCCTGCTCTGTCCCTGTCCTCTGGAGCCCGCTATGCCTTCCCTCCCCTCTTGAGAGTTGCTAGGCACCCGCAGTAGTACTCCTAGCCATGTGTCAGTGGCACTAATGTTGGCTGCACTTAATTTATGCCTCTTTTTTCCTCCAAATGACCACAGCCATGCTTTAAAACTAGATGTTTTCCTTTCTGATTAGCTGGTAGTGTTTATGTGGAAATCTGAAGACTTGGTGATGTCCGTCAGAAACTCCACGACACAATTGGACGCTCTGTGTTTACTGTCCCCTCGCCTTTAAGCTACCACCTGTGAATACCGTGTGTTCACACTTAGCAGAAAGCACTTCTCGATTTCGTGCAGTTCAGATTCACCCTGCACCGGGTGTGTTGCAGTTAGTGGCTGCTGTGTGACATTTCCAGGCCCTGCAGCGTTCCCCTGCCTGCCACTCCCTGGCAAGTCTGTGGCAGCCGTGCCCTGCCCATGAGGAGCCACACTTGCCTGACTGGGACAGGCTCAAAGACGTGCGCATATGTTCTTCCTCCAGCCAGTGGTAGCAGTCACTTTCTCCCCGCAGTCACCTTCAAGTTGAAAAAATTATAGGAGGACACAGGATTTATTTAGAAATCCATTTGTGCCTCATTGATCTTCTAAACTCCTGTTTCCTGAAAGGGCTCCGTGTCAAGTGGAGATTCCTGGGAGAAGAGTTTCAAAGCCAAGCGGCCGTCTTGTGCTAGCAGAGTTTAACCCGAACCGGTTTCCTGTTTAAATGAACTCTGACATGCTCAGTGTATTCTGTGGAGACCCAAGAGGGTGTGCAGTGTAGACAGCGGCATGGCCAAGGGATAAAAACAGCGTGCAGGCACTGAGTCCTGGAAGGGGTGGTCTGTGATGAAGGAGCAACAGCTCTTTGGGTAACTCTACCACTGATTCATTTTGTTTTGCTTTTTGGGAGATTCAGTGGTTGAGTCTTTGTCCCCTCCAAAGATTTTCTTCTGTCCACCTTGCTTATGTTTTTAACACATTCCCACCGGCTCAAAGCACTGGCAGAACATGCATGAACATCCCACTGGTGGTACTGAATGTCCTATCTGGAGGTTTGTACCACACAACAGGACAGTCATGCATGTCGCAGTGGCAGTTCAGAGTCGCCCAGCAGCTACACATACAGGTTATGGCCTCATCTTGAATGTGCTGCTGTTCTTAGGATTTTCCCCTCATCCACTAGATGAATCCAACCTAAAGAAGTAATGAAAGTAAACTAATTTTAAGGGCAAATATATTGTCTCTCCCACTGAAGTCATCTGGTTGTGCTTTCTCTTTGTTCTCTCTCTTCTCTAGACAGAGATTATTATCTTTTCTGTTCATGTGCTTGTCTCTCTGCTTGCTTGCTTTTTGGGGGCCACTTTTATAAAGGCCGCCATCAGAGAAAGAGCTTTCCAGGGCAGTGAACAGAAGTTACCCACTGGAAGTTGCCCACTTGCTGCCCACTTCCTGGGTGACTGTGGCTGCTTACTCTCGGGACTTACTTGTAGTGCTTGGAAGAGATAGGGAGTCACCAGGTGGTGTGTGACACCCTCCCCAGTTCTAATATTCTGTGGCCCTGTGCTCAGAAAGAACTGCAGTGCCACTGTTAGGTCTCTCTCCCCTTCTCCATCCGTCCAGGCGGTGGCACGCTGGAAAATGTAGAGACTCCGTGCTGATGCGGGCAGTAGGCAGGGAGGAGCCTCGCCATTGCTAGGGGTATCGGGCTATTTTTGTGTCAATCTCAGATGATCCAAATGTAGTTTTAGTTTGTTTGGAAGGGTGAGATGGGATGTATTGGTGAACAGCACAAATCCATGTTTTCTGATATTTCTGGTAGTTCTAACCCATCTTGGTTTCATTGTAGGCTTTGGCCGGTGCCTTGTGTATAAAAATGCTAAGTGCACATTGAAGCGATATACCAACCAGACTTTTGACAAAGTGATGGGGCCCATGTTGGATGCCGCCACCAGGAAGCCCATCTGGCGACATGAAATTTTAGATGCAGATGGTATTTGTTCTCCAGGTAAAAGCTTTAAAAAAAATTTCAATGTATGCATTTTGAAATGTGAATTTATACAACAACATTTCTGCATATGTGGAAAACAATGCAGGAAAAACACCTATAATACCACTATCTGGACCAGTGTGGTCATTTTTTTGTTTTGTTTTGGTTTTGGTTTTTTTTTTGGTACCGGGGATTGAACTTGGGTCCTTGTGCTTGTGCAGCAGGCAGCGAAACCACTGAGCTAAATCCCCGGCCCTAGTGTGGTCATTTTTGACGAATTTCCTTCCAGTCTGATTTTCCATGCATTATACTTTTACACAGCAGTAATCTACTCTAATTATAATTTTCTAGTTATAATTTTGAACCCCAGAGAAGCCACTTTAAAGAAATGACAAGGATAGAGTCGTATCCCTGCATCTACATTGGTGTTTCTTTATTTGTAAGCGTTTTCCTCGCAGGCAGCTTTAGAATCTTCTCCCTAACAAGTGTGACTCTGTTAGTCATGAATCTGTGATGAATCTCTTGGTGCAGCCCCTGCCCCCGCAGGTCCTGCAGCTGGTGTGGGAGGCGGCACTGACCAGGGCCACACAGAAACATGTCCTAAGGGCCCATGGACAGCCAGGAGGCCACATTATGGCAAGAAGGTTTGTCAGGGTGGGAAGCTCAGTAAAGGCTTCCCCGGGAAGTGGGTGGAAGAGTTGGCTCTGCCAAGGGGCAGGGCCGTGTTCTGAGCAGGAGCTCCGGCACCCCCCGCTTGTCAGAAGTCCCGAGTGTGACAGCTGAGCCACTTGCTCTAGAGAAGGCCAGTGCTGCTGGAAGGAGTGCAGGGGAGTGGGGTGAACATGAGTGGAGCAAGGGCAGGAGAGGAGTGCAAACCGGTGCCAGGCCAGAGCAGAGCCAGGGCCACATGACAGCAGTGTGAAGACAGGGCCCGGAGGGCAAGGGGAGCCCGCTGGGTGCTCCTGGGCGGACCCAGCACCATCCGCACAGCTCCTTCCAGCGGGTACATGGGCACCCAGTGCACACGGTGCCTGCCTCCCCTGGCCTGGTTGCTGCTCCTCAGAGAGTTGCTTGCTCGCTGTCTCGGCACCGGGCAGCACAGCCTGGGAGACCAGTGCTGGCCTGGCACTGTCAGTGCTGGTCTTCAGACTTCCTGGGAAGACATGGGAAGAGCAGCAAAGCCAAGGGACGCTTCGATTTCCTCATTGGCCGAGTTAAGTGGGTGGTGACTTATTACTGGTTGGAATTGCTGTGAGTGAAAAATGACCAATACCTCTTCTGGTGCCCTGAAAGAGATCTAAAATAGCTTTTGACTGAGGTGGCACTTAGCTTATTAATGTCTCCTGAGTCGGTTTCTTAGTTTTATTCCCACCATGATCTAATCCATCATTGTTCCTAGATGGCCGGTGAGGTCACATAGGAGGAGCCTGTTGAATTCTAGCTCCCACTGCGTGGAGCCCATATCTTTCTTCTGTGTCTGAAGTCTGGACCAAGACACAGTCCATGTCCCAGCAGTCTGCGTTCTACACCGATGATAACGATGCATCTAACACTTTCCCTCTCCTAGGTGAGAAAGTGGAAAACAAACAAGTGCTTGTGAACAAGTCCATGCCTACTGTGACTCAGATTCCGCTGGAAGGAAGCAGTGTGGCCCAGCAGCCGCAGTACAAAGATGTGCCCATAACGTAGGTAGGGGTGTGCCTGGGAGGACACGTGAGCAGGGGAGGCGGGAGGGAGGCCCTGCCAGGCTGAGGAGCGAGAAACGGCGACCTCGAGCGAGCGAGCGAGCAAGCGCTGTCACTGTCACTGTCATGAGCACAGCCTGGCGCAGAGCCCAGGCCCGGCCGTGCAGTCGCTGACCGTGGCCTGTGTGAGGTGTGGCCTGTCGGCCAGGGGCTCCGGGTGGAAGGGGCAGGAGACAAGGGGCGCAGGCGTCCAGGTGCTGGGTTTGGAGGGTCCCTGCTGCTGGCCGCTCCTGCTGCGATGTGGAGAGGTGGGAATTCATTCTGTGGAGAGTGACTCCATCCGATTTGTGTGTTAACAAATAAAACACCCTGGCCACAGTGTGGCATCGCCAGCTGGAGCCTGGAGGAGGTGGGTGTTACCTCACGTGACCGTTTCTCCTCCGTGCAGCGAGGGAGCTGCAGTGTTAGTCTCTCAACTCCTGGGAGAAAAAGCTGAGGAAGAACAAGGGGCGTTGGGGGGTGAGCGGGGCGTGACCACCGTGCTGCGGAGACCTTTGAGAGCAGGCTGCAGGGCTGGGTAAGGCAGGGCTGGGAGGGGCAGAGGCACAGGCGCCTGCTCAGCACCCAAGGTAGAGGCCTGCTGTGCGCAGGAACTTCATGGGCTGGAGAATGCAGTGACCCCGCTGCAGAGAGGAGGCGCGGCTACAGAGATCTGCGCGCTGCCTTGAGGGCGGCTCCCTCGGTCCAGTTCTGGGTTCGATTAGCTCGGTTAAGCCCCCTGCCCCCCCCCCAGCTGTGTCCTCTCAGTAGCTCATTAAGAAGATGAGGAAGAGAGGTTGGGTCACTTCCCAAGCTCACACCTCTGTGAGTGGCAGGGACAGGATTTGAACGTCTGCAGTCTGGGTCCCAGCCCTTTTGAGCACCATGCTAACTCTGCAGGGCAGTGCCGGCCCCTTGTCTGTGTGTGGTGGCTGCACACAGCTGGGCCCAGCCCTGGCCCAAGCTGGGAGCACAGGCTCTGTCTGCAGCATTGCCCTGTGCTGCTGCCGCCGGCGGCTCCCGTCTGCCTCCTGGGCCTTCCTCCCCGGCTCTCACTGAGAACCTGTTCTGCTGCTTTGGTGTCTGTCCTCCCCACTTCAGCCTGTTTCCCATTGATTGCCTGCCCGTGGGCTGGGAAGTGTGCTGTAATGCTTCTTACCGCCAGAGGAGAGGGAGGGGGAGCTTTTCTGAGCTTCGGGTCCTCCTCGGGCTGCCGCTCTGTTCCCTTCCGTGTGGCTCCTGCATGCCTCACCTCCATCTCTCCTCCTTCACCTTCTACTTGTTCCCTGCCCTCTGAACCAGCTCTACCCCTTCCTCCCTCGGAGATGGCTCCTGAGTGGTTGCCGTGCTGGTGCTGTCTGTGTGGTGTGTTTGCATCATTTGGGAAGTCTGGGGAGTGCAGTAGGGCCCTGGTGACCTGGGAGCAGAGCCAAAGCAGCCCCTGGCCTGCACAGCTGCAACTCAGCGGGAAGCGAGGCCCCAAGTTGACTGTGTCAGCAGCCTCAGTGGACCCTCTGTCGCCGTCTAGTGCACAGACGTCGTCTCTAATTCACCTGGCACCCGAGCGCCCGGCACAGTACCCAGAATGCCTGCGCTGCCCCTGACTGTCGTGTGGGCTGGGGCTCCACCTGCAGCCTCTGCTGACCTCCTGTCTGACCGAGGTGGCCTTGTCCTGGCCCCTAACTTGCCCACCTGGGCTGAATGTGCTTGCAGAAGTGCACCCCACCCCTGCTTGCTGCTGATAGCTCCAGGGGGGCATCTGCTGCCCCTGTGCCTGGAGGTGTTTCCAGGACTGCAGAGCCATGGGCCCCTCCCTACCCAGCCCCAGACCAGCTCCTCCTCCTGGGCCCCCTCGGGGGCTGCTGGCAGCACAGGCCTGGCTCCTCCTGCTGTTGCTGGGCTGTTTTCTGCCTCTGGGCTCTAGGCCGACTTCCCCACTGGAGTGGCTCCCTGACAGGGTGGCCTGGGCCTCGCACGCTCCACGGGGCTCTCGCATGCTCCACGGGGCTCACATAGCTGGCCGTGGTACCCTGGCATCGAGACCTCTCGGCTGCTCCTTCCCTCTCCTTCCTGGGAGGGCCAGCATGAGTCCTGTGGCACAGGGCTGGGCCCACTCCGAGACTGCACAGAGCCCTTGAGGCCTGCGAGCCCTGAGGGGACGCCACACAGTGTCTTCGCTCAGGAAGCCCGAGAGGGGCCTCAAGTGGACACAGGCAGGTGATGGGAGATTGTCCTGAGGTTGGCAGCTTGGAGCTGGATCTGAGAGACTGCAGCTCCACTTCTCCAGGTGTGTCCTTGGGTTGTCACCGGGCCTCACCTGTGACCAGGAAGCCCCAGTATGGGATTGCCAGGAGGGTGACGCTATGCCATGCCTGCCTCCTCGTAAACATACATGACTGTAAAATAGAAAGTGTAGATTTGAATTTAATATTTAGAATGCACACATTTTTCAGAGCTCAAAAAGGGAATCCCAAAGCATTTATGACCGGATGAAATAGACGTACATGTGATAAACTGGCAATTTTAGTGACTTTGTCTTCCCATCAGTTACAAAGGAGCAACGGACTCGTACATCGAGAAGGTGATGATCTCCTCCAACGCTGAGGATGCTTTTCTCATCAAAATGCTGCTGCGACAGACAAGGCGCCCGGAGATCGGGGACAAATTCAGCAGTCGTCACGGGCAAAAAGGTAAATCAGTCACTCGTCCACTTGCTTAGCAAACTGAACGTGCTAAAAGACCATATGTATGAAATGTTTCTCTAACTTCCTCCTGTTAAAAAATCAGTGTGTTTGGAAATTATTACATTGTTATCAAAATTATCATTGCTTTATTTCTCAGTTTAACCTCTTTATATATTAATGACATTTCTAGATACATGGTAAAATTGCTTATCTGAGGTACTTGTCTTTCATCCCCTGCCCGAAATTGTAACTATGGATGCATTCTAGTGTTCCTGTTGAAGTGTGTGTGACTGTTCGAAAATAGCAAAACTTACTGACATTTTTCCTCGTGTATGTTTCCAACTGCAGTACATTCTGCGGGTCAGGTATCACAAGAGGTCATCTAGAAGACACCGGAATTGCAAGTCTCTCCTTAGCAGATGGGTCAGGGCCCAAGTGTGCAGTCAGCTTGCTGCTGAGCTGGTCTCAGATCCGCAGCTCCAACCCACAGTAGCCCTTTGTCACCCCTCAGTCCCTCTCCGTGAGCCTCTCCTCTCAGTGATGGTTACTGCCCCATTGTCATGCGAATGTGGTTCGATGGCTTGTGATCCCCTTGATTAGCTTGACTTCCTGGGGTCTCGTTCAGCCACTGTCCATAGCATCCGAGAGTGGGGACTTGGTCCTGGGGCCTGACTCCTGGCTTGGCTTTTGCCTGCCTCTTAGCCCTAAGAATGAGGACTTCGGCCGAGGCTCTTGGCGCACTGTGGCAGGCGGTGTCTGTGGCTCTCTCGTGGCCTGTCTCTGAGTCTCACGTGGCCACAGGAGGTGGGTACTGATGTTATCCCCCTCTAACAGCGAGGAAGCAGGCACAGAGGGAAATAGCATGCTCAGGGTCACTCAGTTTGTGGCAGAATTGATTTTTGAGCCTGGGCAGCTGGCTCTGGAGTCTGAGCTCTTAACTGGCTCCTCGGCCACCAACTGCAGAGCAGCTGGCGCTGGGCCTGGCCCCTTGTCAGTGCTCTAGAAGGGGCCGCAGCCTGGCTGGTGTCGACTGTGTCCTTCTGACATGCATTTGAGGTGCAGCTCTTCTCCTTATGCTCACTTAACTGTTACCACAGCTCCTAAATTGTAAGTGAGCATACTATTTTCTTGTCTTTAATGCAGTGGAGATAACTGCTCATCATGTTCTTGCCGATTGTAGTTTCATTTGCCAAGCGAGTATATCAGGTCTTACATTTTGGTCAAATAAATCCACCCTTAGCTGTCATTCTGCCAATGAAACTATTTCATACTCTGATACTATTCTTCAACAGCATTTTTAGTTCAGTTGACAGAGCCAGATTATTTTAGCCTATCCATATTTTTAAGGGAGAATTTGTTCCGTCTGTTAATGCAAATTTGCCACCTCTAATTCACAGTTCCTTGAGGTGCTGCTAATGTCTCTGAGTGTTTTTGTAAAATACCTACGGCTCTCATGTTTTCTACTGCTTTCCAGTGAGAATAAACTCTGTCTGCAGACCTTTCCTCTTGTTCTGAGACGTGCTCCTTAGTCTCTCTGGGGTGGGTGCAGCCTTGTCCCCTGTCTGTTTCCTTTGCCCATTCTCTGACTGGAGCGAAGCTCTTAGTCTCTCCTTAGAAGGTGTGCCTGAAGAGGCCGTCTCCACTCGGTCAGTCTGCAGGCTTCATCTCCCCCAGATCTGGGTCTGGGTTCCCTGGGGTGTTGTGGGTAGAGTTGGAACTGGCTGTCGTGTCAGTGCTGGTCGGCTGTGTCGTGGGCAGAGTACAGGTCCTTGCCTTCTCTGTGAGGTTTGGTGACACCTTTCTCGCAACAGATGCTTGGAGTGTAGTTGCTCTTGGAATATCTGAATGAGTCGCAGGTTGGGGAGGCAGGCAGGGCGCTCTGCTCTTGGTGGGCTGCTTCTACTCAGGTTCTGATCACACACTGCGTGATTCCGTGTACGTGGATGGGCACATCGTGCTGCTGAAGCGAAAAGCCTCAGGTTAGCGAGCGTGGAGGTGAAATGTCAGGCGGTCCCGGCCCTGGAGCGGCCTCGCAGACTGTCAGTACGATGGGGTTAACGTTCACTGACAGAGCGGCTTCTGATGTGCAGACCTGGGATGGCAAGTTTTAGGGCTCTGCTCACTCGGGGGGGCTCTGACTGACACATCTCCATATGAAACCGAGAGGTCCTCCCGGGGTCGCTGACCTTTCATGGTGCTCAGGAGTTTGTCTTGCTCGGTTCCCTTTTCCAGATGGCTTTTAATCCAAGGGTGGAGCCTCCTGCTTAGCCTAGGCTCCCGGGTGGCCCCTCCTGCACAGCATCAGCAGACTTACTGCAGACTTCGGGGGGTAGGGGTGGGAACCCTCTTCTCACCCATTCTCCATTTCTCTTTTCTTTCCCTAGGAGATTCGATCAACTTTATTTTCTGGACTTTTTGAACTTATCATACTTCTAATGTGCAATTTAAAATATAAATTTACTTTCTTTTTATAGCAAGGGTACATATTTTTGGGGTTTAATTTTAGTTTTTTCGGTTTCTCCACTGTTCCGGATTTACTTCTGTGTCTTGGTCAGTTTTCTCCTTAGTAGATTTCAGAGGATGTGGTCTGCTGTTTTTGTTGAGGCTCTAATGCCTGGCACTCTCCGGAGCCCCGTGTCCGGGGACAGAGCCTCGTGAGCGTCACTAGGGTAGTTGGATGGGGACCCAGAGGACTGCTGGCGCCAGTCTGCCCCTCGGAAAGCCCTGGAGCCTAGGGTCCTCCTAACTCCCGCCTGGTGTTGGAGCTGAGAGTGGAGGCAGAGGCAGAGCCAAAGTTTGCCAGCTGAGCTCGGAGAGCCCGGCCAGGGCAGGGTGCAGTGGGCTGCTCCTCACCTGCCCTCTGCCTGCCTGCTCCCTCGGGTAAGGGTTGAGGGAGAAGGGGCATTTCCTGGCTGTAGGCGATGGAGAACAGAAACTCAGGGAGCTGACATTTCTTTTGCGACATTTACTTATGCCGATACTTATTAACTTTCATAAGTGCGGACTCTCCCCGGCCTGAAGCGAAAGCCCCGGCCCCTATTCGCCTTGTGTGCTTGTGGGCAGGCGAAGAGGTAACGGCAAGTCCTGGCTGGGGTCTGGGCTCCAGGAAGAGGCTGGGGCCAGAGATTAAGTGGGGATCATTTGCCTGCTGTTTATCCCCAAATTTATAGTCTGTTTCTTGTTGTGCATTGATGACTCACAGGCATTTTCCTCTCTTGCATCCTTTGATCTATCCAGTTCTAGCCACTGTTGCTGTTGCTGCTACCCAAGGTGGGCAGATTGAGGCTTGGAGAGGAGAGTAGCTCAGTACAGCTCAGGGCGGCAGGGCCAGGATTTGAGTCCAGGCGTTTGATTCTGAGCATGTTGCCCGTTGCATTAGACCTCGTTGAGGGGCTCCTCTCTCTCCAGAGACCATCGCCACTGTGCCTCTGGGGTGCTACGTTCCTGAAGATTTCCCTCGCCTCGGAAGGCACAGTCTTCTCCTGACACATTGGTCCTTTGCTTAGGCTTTAGTAGCCTTAGCTAAAATTCTCGATCTATGAAGAATATGAACAAATATAAAAGGTAAATTTCTGAGCCCTCAGCTTGGCCATTCTGATGCCCCTGGCTAGAAAGGGGGTGCCTGACAGAAGTGTGGGAACAGCTGGCGGGCTCACTCAGGATCTCCTTGTGCCAGTGTCTGACGAGCCCGTGGCGACCCAGCCCAGCCCAGCCCTGGGGGCCCCAAGAGGAGCTGCGGCCTGAACCTTGGGTGTGGGCGAGTGGAGTGGAGAGCCAGGCCCGCAGCATGAGCTCCCCTGCTGGTAGTGGTCACCAGATGAGCCGGCCACAACTTCAGTGCTGTGAGCGCTCACCGCGCATTTGTCCAACCAGGCTTTTGCTGAGCGTGTCCATTCCCATCCAGAGTGAGAGCAGTGGGCAGCTGAACTCAACCTTCACTCTTGAAATGTAGGATTGGTTAGAAACGCTCTTTTTCCTTTCATGGCGTCATCTGCAGGTTGACACGTGGTCCTCACTATGGAACAGTTTGGAGGTTCTTTTGAGTTAGCGCATCTTTCTGTACACTCCCCACACACTTGGAATGTTACACTGTACAGATCGCCTGACTCTCCTTGCTTAAGGGTCTTTAACAGAGCTCTTGTTAGGGATTCTTTTTGTTGATGCATAATGTATAGATTGTATTTCTGTGCCTAATACCTCTTAAAATATCCTCTCCAACAATTAGAGGAGACTTGAAAAATTTAGTCTCACAGAGCACAAGTGTCTATCCTGCTCAAGCCTGATCACTTCAAAGGTAGCAGGATAATTAGTAGCTAATGCAGCCAATGGGATGAGGACACTGAATAGCAGTAGTTCTGCGGGAGATGGGCTAGAGAGCACAGAATGAGTGGTGAACTGGGCGGGAATCCACAGCCATGGTGTGTGAAGAGCCAGGTGGAGTGTGATGGTCAGGGACACCCACTGTTCTGTGATAGGTGTGACAGGTGTGACAGAACACAGCACCTCTGTACTCAAAAGTGGAGGGGAGGGCAGGGATTTAGCTCAGTGGTTCTGCCACCTGCCCCGCAAGTGCAAGGACCCAAGTTCGATCCCCAGTACCAAAAAAAAAAAGTGGAAGCGGAGTGAGCAGGCAGCCAGGTGGTGAGAAAGGAGGAAGGGTCAAGGCCACCCCGGGGAGAAGCTGGACAGTCTGCTCCGAGCACATTCCTGAGTCTGAGGAGGTGGAGACTCCGGGAGCAGGGCCCCCAGGTCTGTGGCACGTCCTGTGTCTCAAGGCTAAGTGGCCCCGAGTCCGCCACCCCCAGAGAGCTGAGGCTTTGATCAGGGCTCTAGAGCAGCTCGCTGCTTAGTGGTGTGCAGAATGTTAGGGGAGGTCAGAGGGCGCCGCGACAGGCAAAGTTGTGGGTGTGTTGTGTGTGTTTACAAAGGAAGAGAAGTCTAGTTTGACGTGGTTTGCGGTTCCACTGGGGCGAGGTGCGGGGACCCTGAAGTCGTCTTCTCCTTAC